ATTAAACCACTAGATTCCATTGATTTTTGGATTGGTGCAGTGATTTGTTTTTCAGATTTTTATATATTAGTGAAAACCCACGTGATGATCTTTGCAATACAGTAATTGTTTCCAACCATGTTAGTTCTTTCAGAATGTCTTTTTAATGACATTTACTTTATGTAAGTGCTTAATAAACATTGTTTTAATAACCTCCTGTGATGTTTTAAATATGGAAATATATTGGGCTGGCCATTTTGGTATGGTGTTAGAAACTTAGTGTCAGGGTCAGGTTGATTTTGAGGTTTGCGATTGGGAAATGGTGCAGCCACATACAATTCTGACTGTAAGTTGAAAGTGTGGGAATAACTCATAAAGAACATTCAAACCTGATGAGAATTTTTCTGATAAGGAATGGTCTGAGCCTTGACAGTGCATTATGGTCTTTTCTGAGGAAGAGAATGTTCTGAGATAGCAGACTGCCTGGCTTCCTGCCCACTGTCTGACTGTCCTGTGGGCTCTCATGATCAGCATGTTTGCCTTGGGCCTGCCCCATTGCCCAGGGTACCAAATAGCTTGGCAGATCTCCTGGCATTCTCCCCCCCCCCTTTAGCTATAGGGGGTAAGTGGTGAGTTCAAGGGTAAAGCTTTTTTAGCCTACTCTATGAAGGAAAACAGGTAGAATATGCAATATTTCCCAAAGATTTAAGCATTTCATAAGATACTCTTTGGCAAAACTAGTTAAACATGCTTCCGCTCATTCAAAACTTACTTTCTTCATAAAAAACTAGATGGCTAATTTTCTTGGAGGAGGGGTTAATGCCTGAAGAATAAGCTCATTAAATATAAAGTAAAAACCAAAGCCAAACCCCTTTGTGGTTGATTTAGACTTAAGTGACCCTATAGGACGGGGTAGAATAAGAAAGTCTCCAAGGCTTTTAATGTTTAGGGAAATAGACTGCTACATCAGGTTGTAGGTTCAAACTGCTGCCCTTTAGATTGGTAGTCTAGCACTTAACCACTGTGTCACTGGAAATGCTTTAGTTAAATGTATGAAAGTTTATTATGAAGAGAGCCAAAACTTGTCAGTTTCAATTCCTTAGATGATTAAACAAGACAGTATAGACTGTAATTGAAGCAGAATAGATTTAGGTTAGATGTAGGGAAAGAACTTGACAGATTCATTCTTCTATGAATTAAGCAGAAAATATTTTGACAGAAAATTAATTTATGTTTATGATTGTAGATCGCAGTGTCATTTCAACTCAGCAAACATGTATCTAGTGCTCATTGTTTATCTGGCAGCCAAGCTGTGAGGAAGATGGTGTTACCCCTCCCACCGGGAGGGAAACTGAGGCTGGAATGCTTTAAGTTTTCTGGGGGCTCACAGCTAATCCAAAATGAGACAGAAGTGGATTTGGTTCTCCTAAGACTCTAAGGGGCCTGCCAGCAAAGGATGGTAGTAAAACACCAAAATAATTTTCATAAAACATGTTGTTCCACCATGCTGTTTTATATAAAGCCAGAGTTTGAACCCAGTGTTTCTGACTCTGAACTCCATATTCATGGAGCAAAATGAATCTTCTTAAATAAAGACTTCTGAAATCAGGACCTTCCTGAGGCCAAGGCCATGAAGCCCCACTGCCACCTTTCCCCTACAACACTTACCGTATGTTCCTGTCTCAGTTTATCTAAATGTTGCCCCTCCTCTAGGGGCCAGGCTTTACCACCTACCCTCTTCACTTCCCCAGTTCTCCCCACTTCCTCACCATTCCAGTCCCCTTTGAGGAGGGGGAGGCATCAAGTCTGGAAAGGTGGAAAGTCAGCAAAAGAAAAGAAGATCCCTAGTGAGATGGACTGACACAGTTGATTGCAGCAATGAGCTTAAGTGTGTTACTGGTACAGTGGTTAAAACTCAGCTACCAACTGAAAGGTGGTTGGTTGGTGGTTCCAACCCACTAGCTGCCAAGATGTTGCTTCTTCTTCATTGATGGTGTACAGTGTTAGAAATGTAGGATGCAGTTCTCTGCCATTCAGTCACTGGAAGTGCCAGTGGGCCTAGTTTGGTTTATACCGTTTACTGGACATTCATACAGGCACTTGATGGACTGATGTGTTAAACCTGACTTTTATCTTTTATAAATAAGTTGCCAAACATGGGTCTGTAGACCTAGGTATTTATTCTTTGATTAAAGGAATAAATGCAGTCGATGGAATGAAAAGAATTTTCCTGACTATAACGTTGCTTTACGTAATTTGCCACATCTGGTCAGGGTCACTAAATAATCATTTAATTCATTATCAGTGAGACACAAGTTGTACTTTCTTAGCCATTTCTGAGTTCTGGGTAGAATAACATAGAGGGAATGCTCCTTCTAATAATATTGTTTGATGGGAAACTTATTTTGGTGCTTTGCTCCCATCTTGTGATGCTTAGTTTCTAGTCTGTCTTGGAATTGGGAGGATCAGTCTTGACGATTTGAAATTTTAAAAAATTGTCCCTTGTGTACAGTGCAGTTTTTATAGATCATTATTTTTCTTAGTTTTACAGACACAATTCTGATGATTGGTTAATAGTTCAGAACCATTTGCTCATCAGAATCAATCTAAAGAGCTTTGAAAAACTGTAGACTTCATGTCTCAGTACATTTCCTGAACCAGAATTAAGGTAAAAGTGGAGGTGAGAAATTAGAATGACTTTATAGCAAATTCCCTTGCTAGTTCTAATCCTGGACAGTTTGGAGTATTCGTATTGATTGCAGAATATAAATGGAAGCTACAATTTTGACACGAGTTGTGTATCACAATCCTTTGAGTTTTGGGACCTTCGTGGGTATATTATTCACTTGGTTTTTTTAGCAGAGGAATCGACATGTGTGTGACATAGATGCGGGGAGTTTGCGGAATGTTGTAAGGGCATTAACATCATGGGAACCATGACAATACTACAACTAGAGTCCGATATCCAGTCTGCAGTCTAGGCAGATAGCACTTGGGTGCTGGTTTTGTTTCAGCGACTTGCCCTTTGCAGTGCTGTCTACAGTAATGAGATTTTGATTATAATATTTGGTATATTAGCATTTCAGTTATAAAATGAAAAGAATCCATAATTGAATGCATTAAACTGTCAAAAAGTCCAGGATTTAGGTGTATTTACTCTCACCCAGGCTAGCGCCCATCCATAGCCTGCTCGGGTTTTTTTTGTGTGTGTGTTTTTTTTAAAGAGTCCAGTTCCCAACTCCCAGTCTGTCTTTTCCTATCTCTTACCAGTTTGGACTTCAACTGGGTGAAAATATTATTTTCCACTTTTGCCCTTGATTTCTTTTTGAGACTTCCACATTAGTTGTATGACCGCCTTGTGGGATACTGAGGTGCTGCTCATGGGCTGCTGGTCTTGCTCTGGTTTTCCATCCCATAATCTCCAGCCTTCTTGGGCCTCTTACATGGAGAACCTGAGCGGTAAATCAGCTCCACCTCCTTGTCAAGGGAGTAGTAAAATAAGAAAAAAGGGAGATCTCATGCTCTGATACATATTTTTTTTAAGAATGTTGATGATTTTTAGTTTTCTGTTACTTTTTCCCTCCCTCTTTTCTCCCACAGTGAAGAAAAAAGTCCTTTTTGTGGAACAGAGAAAAATACGCTCCCTCTAAACAATGGATTGAAAATGAATTTGATTTATAAATGAGAAGACTAGAGGGTGGGATACCAATTCAGAAATCCTGTAACATGGAATAAAAGAAGAGGAAATGGCCTGGGATCACGGCCTCCTGTGATTTGAAAGCCATTGTGAAGGAAAACAATGCAGTGAAAGAAGGTTCTTCAAATTAGGACACAGATCATTGCATCACATTTATTTATCTTGCTAGATATTTTTATAGCCCTTAATAAAAAAAATAAAATATCCAGTTATTGTCTCCCAGTGATGTTTTTTCCCACTATTTGAAATTAAAAAAATCAGCCACATTACTAAAAAATAACCATTGTTTGATAAAATTAAAAAGATGAAAATTTTCCATAAGACTTGTGCAAGAGTTTCCAGCTTCCTCTTTGTACCTCACAGAAAAGGCAGAATAACATTCCAGAGTGATGTTGCGAAAACCCCTATGTACTGAGCGGTCCAGAGTGAGCAGGAATGATAAGGGAGCTTTGTAACAAGAAGCCAGAGAACTTGCATTGGTCCATCTTCTCAATCCTAGGTCACTGGAGGGAGATGGCAGTGGGGTCCCGTGTTTGGTTTTGCTGGGTCATGTCCTCCATTAATGTATTTATATGGAAGGATAAGAGAGCTCACTATGACCACAGATAGGAAAAACATGTCTCCTTGTGGCCACTCTGTTTTCCAGAGGAAATGTCATAGCAGCTGTCTGGAAATGGAATCAGATATAGGGAGAGTTTCAGAGACCTAAGGCAGTGTGGCCAGTTAAGTTAATTTCTGGCATCTTTTGTTAAAACTGGTTCAGAGCTCTTGGGTGAGATCTTGGCTGTCAATTTTGGCTGAAACCATACACTGGCCTTGTGTACAAGGAAAATCCCTTACTTGACCCACACTGAGCTGCTGTAAAAACAGTCTGATACGCTGGGATGATGGCCTTTTCAAATTGAACTTAAACTTTAGTTTACTAAATGACATAAATTTGGGTCAGGGGCTCTATATGGCTTACCAGTGGTGTTTCCATTTTTAACAATCAGTTGCTAATGTTTAAACACATATTTCAATACATTTCCAAATTTCTGGCTTCTTGAAAAACCAGAAGCTTTGGAAATAGTAATGCTGAATAGCAGCTGTGTTTAGATTGATCAGTCCAATTCATCTAAACTCTGACTAGACACTGGTCTATCCCCAGCCCTGCTAGGTGTCCAGCTGTAATGATCTGTTGGCAGTAGAAATTTTGCTGGCCTCTGAAAAGCAGTGAAATTTGTGCAGGTTCTAGACATGGAATCTTTTAATTCTGGCTGGTACTTAGAATGCATGCAAAGAAAAGGAATTATAAATAAATGAAAAGTTGGAGTTTATTGCTAGTAATGAACATAACATTTGCAAAGAAAGAAGATGACATTTTAGAGTAAGCTGCCAGCAACTAGTGTCCACCCCCAAGCCCATTTTACTTCCAGGTGCATTTATTTCGAGGCTTGACAGCAATCAAAACAGAGCAAGTGGCAGGTCTTTTTTGTAAGGATAAGATGACTGTGTTCCTGTGCTCTGGACGCTGACGGCAGCGATGAAGTTTGATCTCTTGAGCATGTCTTCTAAGGACAGGTTTGGGTAATAAGCCAGGTAGAAGGCCAAAGCACCCACAAAACTGTCACCAGCTCCCTGAAATGGAAAGCACAGTGTAGAGATAAGCAGGTAGTCAATTCATTGCCCAAACCACTTTAAAAAAAGACAAGCTTTTAAATTGTGCAACCCTACTATTTGATGGGGGCGGGGGGAGGGTGAATGAAATGGGAAAGAATAGGTGTGAAAAATAATTGTATTCGAACTTTGTAGATAAACCAGTATAAAACAAAAATGTAAAAAAAAAAAAAAAAACAACAACAACAAACCCAACAAACTTGGAATTGCTTTGGATTTACAGAAAAGCCCAGTTTGTTAACATCGTACCACAGTACCTGCCTCCACATTCACCTTGCAGCCAGACCAGAGCAGAGGCATAAGGCTGAAGGAAACCTAGCATCACTGACAGAAATCAACTCCACGCACTGCTTTTGGATATTATGGTCTTTGACTGCAGATGAAACTTAGGAACATTTTAAAAAAATGTCACTGCAATCCCAGAGATGCATGGTTCGAATCCACCAGATGCTCTGCCGGGGAAGGAGGGACAATTTCCTCCTGTACCAGTCAGATCCGATTTGACGGTACACATACACAAAAACAATAAA